GCGAGGACGTGGAGGCCAGAAAACAGGATTGAAGGGCCGGCTGCTCTGATGCTGAGGCTGGTTTGGAGACGCCAGGGACGTTGGGAGCATCTCGTTGTTTTAAACAAAGGGAAAGCAAACTACAGAAGATTGAGAAGACGAGTGAAATAGGACGTGTCATCAAATTTATTCTATGTGGGTAAAATATGCAATAATGGTCGCTAAAACATGGGAAGAATTTCCAATATGTCCGATTCATATAATGTGGTACTGACCGGCAGGATGAGGAATAAATCCTTCTGTACCACTACGATTGTAACCTTACTAATAAAGAAAAGGCTGTGTTTTGGTTTGATATATCATAGCATATATATTAGTAAGAAGATCATTGGAATTATGAGTTGTGTGAGATCCATAGAGCTCATTCACGCTGGATACGATAAGATGCAATACTTCAAGCAACGGATTTCTATTTTCCATGCGAAGGACAGTGGATGGAATGAGAAGAAATGTTTTGTCCGCATCTGGGAAATACATCTGAAAGTTTTCACAGCTTTTCGGAGTGAAGAGTGGTGTGTAAATGAGCTGTTCAAGAGCCAGGTAATTTTACGCTATTAATCTAAGCTTCCATATGTTTTGCTCTCAAATAAAACTCACACCAGCATATTAAGTAGTTTCATGGGTTTCAATTGACATTCTGTGCGAAACTAAGACAGATAATGTAACAGAGTGTTGGGGTTTAGGAGCTGCCACAGAGAGGCTTAGACATTATTCGAAATATCATTTTTAACACTCCATAGCTCAAAAGTTTTAGTTATGTACGTAAACCATTTTCTCTCAATGCTATTTATAGACTGTTATCCCTATTTTTATTTTTTGTAATATTTAAGGGTAGAATATCTTAAGGAATTATTTTAAGGGCATGTATTTTGTTTGTTATGCACAATGTGTAGTAGAATTCCATCAGTTTGTTCAAATTATGCGAGGCCCGACCCAATGAATATTAGTACACACGGACATGCATAAACAAACAAGTAAATACTTATCCATCCATCTGATATATATACATTTATTCATCTATCTATCCGGTTGATATGGATGTCTAGACTGATAAATATTTATTCATTTCAGTGTATATGCATGTCTGTATAATGAATAGTCATTGAGCCTCCCACAAATTTAACAAACCGGCCGCATGTCAGCTGAGTGCCATGAAGAACCGTGGCATAAGTGGCACGAGTAGAATCGATTAAAATTTACCTTTATTTTACATCGTTTTTAAGTGATAAAAACAGGGATATCAAAGGTTTAGTCCCTCCACTTCCTTTATACAAGCCCTTGTGGTGTTTCAATATATATCTATGCCTATATCTATCTTTCTATTCATCTATCTATCTATCTAAACAAACATATACATATACTTATCGGTGTTTCGCAAGGCAAAGCCTTAGGAGTGACAAGCATAGGCCACCAGGTGTCTCTCTGTCCTCACAACAAGATATAGGTAGGTTCATACATCGAGAGATATTGCATATATATACGTGTAAATATGCAAACACATGCACACACGTGCTTGTGTATGTGCGTGTGTGTGTTTATGTGTGTATGCGTATATATATATATATATATATATATATATATATATATATATATATATATATATATATCTATGTGTGTGTGTGTGTGTGTGTGTGTGTGTGTGTGTGTGTGTGTGTATGGATATATGAATATACATATACAAATATACATATTCAATATATATATATATATATATATATATATATATATATATATATATATATATATATATATATATATATATATCCGTGTGAGTGTGTGTTCATACCTTGTTGTTTCATTATGGGAGAAGAGCTGAGCTCAGATGGTCCCGTCTGCTATATTTAAATTGCCGTATAACTAAACTAATTTATGACGTGTTTATTGCCTCTCTTTACTTTCAACTTTTTATAGTGTCTTCTCGTCCATCTTTGTTCAAGATTATAGTGTCATCTTTGTCTAACTTCAATCTTCTTGTAATACAGTTGAACAGCATAATCATGCCCCCCCTTTTCCTTCTTTCTTCCAAAGTAGTAAGGCCTAATTTCTGTAGTCTATCATCCCTTAAAACAGGTGCACATCTTAGAACTCTACAGTTTCTCTATATCAGTGGACTTTTTTTCTGTGAATGTTTCTTTGTCTCGGTTTCACTACCCATGACAATCTTGGTTTCTGCTTCTAAATTTTCCTTGAGTTTCATGTCAGACTTTTCGATATTCTCTCTCTCTGAATGGTTGTGTTCCTGCGCGAATTATCTACCAGCTCCATCAAATTTACGTTTTTCTTCACTTATTTTCAGGCATTCTGCTACCAGGCTGTCTACCTTGGCTTCGAGAGCCTCGGTTCTAACTGCTGCTTCCGCTAACACCATTTTCCTCGTCTGATCTTATTTCTTACTGATTAAACAAACGCAAAAACAGGGCAGTTGTCTCAATGCAGGATTCGCGGTCACTCTCCCCCCCCC